GAAAAAGTAATGTTTTGACTTTGGTCATCCCGTTGGTAAATAAAAAAAATTTTGACAACAAAACGAATGCAAAGTAAATTGTAGAGAATTTAATTAGCTACAATTTTCTGTTAGGGTTTGTACTTTTAAAATTTTTTGTCTAATTTAAAAATTAAAAGAACAAAATTCTCGCGGAAACATTAATAACTTTGCTCCAAATAAATATTTTTTTAAGAATAAAAAATAAAAAATTAATTCAGTTAGTTTGCTACCAATGCTGAAAATTTGAACGATTTATCTCTACGCTTACTAATAAAATAAAAAATTCGCGCAAACGTCTAATTAATCGAGCGCGCCGCTCTCCACCCGCGAGTGCAGCAGTCGGGCGACTCGAGCGAGAGAGAGCCGAGCGAAGCAACAAAGCAGTGGCCGCCGCGTAATTATGCTCATAGCGAGACAACGGCTGCTCGGATTAAAAAATAAATAACACAGCGATTTTCCTCATGCTTTAATTATTCTAAAAATATAAACTTTTCAATCGCCAAAATTCTAAAACATTGAATCAGAGCGAGATATTGGTTAATTCCGTGGGACAACTTGTCTGGTTGCTAAACTCGTTTCCGCTTTTCTCTCACAAAAAACAATCGGACATGCACAAATATGATCAGAAACGACTTAATTTGTTGACATCCCGGCACTGAAGCACATATCGACTCACAAAACGTAAAAAATCCGAGTTATCCGCTGCTTTTTTGAGCCGCAACTTCGCCGTCACGGAGATATTGGCCGTATTTTCGTGGCTTTTCGTGCTTCCAGCTGATTTGAGATGCTTTTTCTTCGTTGCCAAAGCTTCCCTAGGTTCCGAACTAGTCTGACACCTGCAGATTATGTTCAAAACCGCCTTGAATCGACAATATTTGACCGAAAAACGCGGCAAAGAGTGCAAAACAATGCATTTAGATGGGAGCAGCTGGGAGCGGCATGGGTTTTCCTTCCCCAGTTACGTCACTCGTGAAGCTTCGCGGCAGTGCCGCGCAAAGTCGCTCTGCGCGCCTACCACGAGGCCTTTGTGGCTGGGGCTGGAACAAACTGATGGATCTGATCGGCAACTCAATTCTCAGATGTTTTTCGCGCGAATCACTTGTATTTAGGTTTTCTTTTAATTGAGACGCAACGGTTCGGAATTTTCAAATAGTGTTTTCACAAGATATACTCGAAATTTAGCAATTTTTCAGAATAGAGAGCAATACACTTGACCGGAGAGGATCTTTAAGACTTGTATGATAAGAAAAAAAAGTTTAATGCATCTTTCTCTCTCTCAATTCAGGATGATTTATGATTGGAGGTCTAAAATTACATCCTATTAGTTGCAACGTGACAAATACATGGCCCTGGCTCGGTTGCCCGTGATGAATCCCATGCGCCGCGGCTGCTTGCTCGTTAGCCCCGCGAGTTCTAATGACATTTTCTCATTGGGAGAGATCGGGACGAGACGCAGCGCAGCCGCCGCTGTTTCACATTTACTTCGAATCCATCACGCACGTAAATTAGCCGCGACGTCGCGCCGCTTGATAATTGGCCCTCGCGAGAGTAAAAAAAGGAATAAAATAAAAACATGTAGGAGCAGAGAGAATTATGATTCACAAAAGCGACAGAAGTCATTCTCGTGACTGCTTTTAGCGGCCACCCCACCAAATAGTCACGATTTATTTTGACGGAGTGACTATTTAAAAGAGGAATTATTGCACATTTAAATAATAAACGTCGGCTATTAAGTTTGAAGACAAAAAATTTAGCTATGAGATGAAAGAATTTATCTCGGTAATTAAAAGTTCGGCGAAAAAAGATAAGTCGGATTGCGAGTTTGCAAAAAATGGCCAGGCAAATATTTGGAGCGAGAAAGATAATTTTCGCAGCTAAAGAATTAGTCACAAGGCGAAATTTTCTTTGCTGAGTCACAAAGAAAATAAACAGAGTTTGTTTGTGATGCCATTAAGGGAGTGCAACAGTTGTACATCCATCGTGAAAGAAATGAGGCGGCGGCTAATGACTCGCGGGCCGCCGTGCATTCCACATTGTTCAAACGGGGCGCGAGAGGACAGCAAAAAATTCAAATTACATCTCTGGGAGCTTCCGTCTCTCTGTTGCTTTTTGTGCCGCCAAGAGAGAGATGAGTCGCCTTGTCATAATGTTTGTTCGCCACCCACATTTCGTAAAAAGTAGTGTAGCGCCGGCTATTTCTGTTGCTCTCTCTCGTGACTTCAAAGAAAACAAGAAGTCGGCGGCGCAGCTACTTCGTTTTCGTCTCTGCGGTTATTTTAATTTATTCCTATAAATCTCGCGTAAATTGGGGGGAGCTACTTAGGACCAGAAAGAGAAATAAGTCAAGCAACGGCTCTTAAATTTGGAGTATCTTGTTGCGCGGCTGCTGCGGTGGTCTAATGGAGTCACCAGCTGATTGACGGGGAAATAAATCTCTCCGAGTGGAGTAAAAAACGTAAAAAGAAATCGGTTTAATTTGGTAAACATCTGTACTGGGGCTTAAAATGAGAAACATTCCAACTTGCAATGTGGGTTTTAAAAAAGGGTTAAAAATAAAATTTGAGTGTTCTTTAGTAAATAATCCACTATTCAAATTAAGTGTGATAAATAATGTGTTATTAAACAAAAAAATAATTAAATTTATTTATTTTCTTGTAAGAAATGTTTTTGAAAGTTTAATAATTTTACATTTAAGGAAATTAGTGATTAAATTTAATATAATTTTTCTAAAATTCTGAATAGCCAAAATTCAAGTTCATATAATTAAATTGAGACCTTTTCAATGATCGATTGTGAAACGTTTGATGTGTATTTGGACATCAAACATCCGTTTGATGCATTTACATGAAATTTACAACTTATTCAAAACGGTTTCGATTCAACGGGGAATGTTTATATGTAATATGTATATATTTTATGAATTTTTCGTGATCGCGCGTCCATTAATTTGTCCCGTCCAACAATGGAAAACCAATCAAATCGAATGAATAATTCATAGTGTGCACGACGCGCCATTCTCTCGCTTGCTCGGCCGTGTTCGAATTCAATTATTTACCTCACGAACGCATCAATTTATAGCATACCTGATGCGCGCCAACTCCATGAAACACAAAGGTTGCCGACTGGCTGACGTGTTTGCGTAATGGAGCCCTATTTCGTCATTACCCCTAATGGAAAGCAGGCATTATGAATGGCCGCGGTGGTTAACTGGACCGCAAATAAACATCATTCACCGACCGACTCTCTCCCTCTCGTGCTGCGTGATTTCGCGTTTTCGGACGGATGGACCAAAAGGCAAAACACATGCAATGCCCTCTTGTCGCGTTTGCCGAACGAGAGACAAACGCGCCACTTCATTAATTCTTGGCCGTGCATTTGTGTTTATTGTACAGGAGGTTTGCAATTGAAATGTTTGCTCTGTCGGTTGCAAAAAATTGTTGCAAAGGGGAAGTGCTCAATAGAAATAAATGATTTCGTACTTGTTAGGTTCCAATTTTATTTTATTGCAACGGAACTTAATCAAGCTTTTAATTATATAATTTTTTTTTACTTTTGGACTTTTGAGGGTTACGACGTTCTGAATCATCCGAATACTGCTTTTATGTTTGCATCAGGACAATCATAATTATTTACTTGCATTAGAAGCCATATATATATGAGATAATTACTAATATTGAACCAAGTGACAACCAGAGACGAGAAGTCTGTATGGAGAATATTTACATCGTTGAACACAGGGTGAAAAACGTTTATAGATATATTAATTTTGTCCAAGAATTGTTTTTATTAGAATTTTTATTTTCTAAATAAAGTAAAATCTTAAGGGCAATTAAATTAACATAAATAATAAAAAATGTTTTGAAAATATATTATAAATTTTCTAAAAAAAATTTGAAAATGAATGTGATTACTTATTAAAATGAATAATTATTTAGCAACAAAGTAAAAACATTTGATAATAAAGCAATACTTATTTATCTATAATATTTTACTGCAAAAGATTGCAATTTCAATTTAAAGTTAAAAAGCACTTTTAATCAAAATCATGATCAATGTCTTTTTTTTGGAACCACCGATCGGGAATTCGGAATTGAATAATTGAAATCCAATTTGGCACCGGCTTTCACTGCCCTGCCGGAAAAAGCAAATAATAAAGCAGAGTGCCGCGCGCATCAATTGCAGTTCGCCGACCGCTCGCTCGACGGCGTCGGCCGAATTAATAAAATAAAATGGAAAAAGGCCGACATTCAGAGCGCGCGCGGGGGTTTTATTGGAAAACGATGGAGTGATAGAGAGAGAGAAAAAGCTGAGTGGCATCCGACCAAACCATCAGAGCAAACCTCCGTTCTGAATAACATGAACACAACGTGAATGGAATCAATAGCTCCAAGTGCTCTTCTGCTTTTGCCGCATTCGATTGATTTAAGCGTGCAAGGCCGGTTGCGTGCGATGACAGGATGTGTCCAATCGCACGACATGCAAATACAAAGCAACAGACACGCCGATCAATTCAATCAAGTCTCGGCGCCGATAATCAATTCCGAGCCGGTGAATAATTCAAAAGGTTTGATTTTTGCCGCGTGTTTGATTTTCCACCGGCGCAAATTAGTTGTAATTGCGAGAGAGCTCAGAGGTATAATTGGAAAACCAGCAATTTGCGATTCAGCAGGACGAGTGTGTTGCATAACATTCACTTTGATTGCAACCGGCTGATTATCTGTGCTGCAATATTATGCATAAGGGAATATTTTATGACGTCGGAGTGCATTTGATCGGACTGGCCATCCAATCAACTGAATAAATCATGCAGGTTTTTCCTGGAAAAGCCGTGCCCAGTTTTAATTAGCGTGCTGAGGAAGAAGTAGAGCGAGAGTCCATTTTCCGGTCGCCTGCCAATTTCCTGCCGGGGATTTTCTCATGATTGTGAAATGTGAGGCTTTCTCTCTTCTGATGGAGAAAAATGAGCCAATTGTACTCACCATAAATTGTTAAGGATGCCGGCTCCGAGACACGTCGGCCGGCCACATTTTCGGCGGCGCAGCTGTAATTGGCGGCGTCCGCTAATCTGGCACTCAACACCAGCAGGACACGTCCGTCCTGCGAGATCCGCAAGCCCTGCTCCTGCCCGCGCAGAATGACCCCGTTGCGTATCCAAGTCACGTTGGGCTTGGGAAAGCCTTCCGGGGGCAAACAACGAAACTCGACCTGCTGCTCCAGCTCCACCGACTGCGAGTACGGTGCGTGGTCAAACAGCTTGCGCAAAACTGAAACAAATACCATGGAAAATTAATCAATAAGGTATGAAACGTTCACTGCAATTATTTAAATCAATCATTCAATATTGTGGTTTATTAAAAAATTAGCTGGTACAATTTTTAACTTGCAATTAAATTGAACAGTTTTTGCTCAGAACGTCACACAAATTATTTTTATTTGTGTCAAAGAACCAAGATTTTGCACTCGGCCAAGTGCATTTCTCGCCTCAAAATTAATTCTGACGCTCAAAACTGTTGTAAATTTAAATGAAATTATATTGCTAATATTTAAGAAATAGAAAATTATTAATCTGAGGCAATTCATGTCTCAATTATTATAAAAAGTTTGAATGTTTCCATCAAAAACGGATTCATATTTTTTAAATATAAACGATTTACTTATCCTCTGGGATAAATTTTATACTCTATGCAACTGTTTTTAAATTGCATTGTGTCGACGCTACCTCATGATTTAAGCTAAATAAATTACATTAATTATACTTCCACTTCACTCAGATTCTCTTGATCACTTTTGATTTTCAAATGATTAACATTAATAGGCACTAATGAAATAATGGACTTAATTATTCTTAATTTTTTATTCATTCACTATGAGTTATTGAAAGCTTTATTTTTTTTTAATTGTAAATGTTTATAAAATAATTATTGTATACAACTTCAAATATTTTTATATTTAAAAATATGTAAAATTAGTATGAAAAAAATTTAATAAAAAAATAATTGCTTTTAAATCTTATTTAATATGTAAATACTGTTTTTATTAAAATATAAAATAAAAATTTATTATGTTGCACATTTATAATAACTAGATAGTTCTTTCTAAGTAAATGCTAAACACTAAAAGTGGATTTTATAAAAATTGAAATTGAGTTATCTTCGCTGCAAAGAAAATTGAACAAACAAATAAGAAAATAAAAGGACAACTGACCCCAAAGGTGACCTGCTGTCTTCAGGTACTTTAAAAACCCAGGGTTTTTTCGTGTCCAATTCCAATAAGAGCAGAGGGAGAAATTAAAAAATAATAATATAATAATTGAAAAAAATCTCCTAGTTTTATTTTTAATTATTTACACATTCCTCTGCCTTAATATCTTTAAGTTGGACAAGACAAAACCCTTTTGGAGTCGGTTTGTCCTCTTTTTTTGCCATGTTTCTTTGCTGGTTTTCCCAGTTTCAATTTTTCAGTTCTCTGAAGATTCATGTTTTATGGCAAAAGTCACGCAGCAATTCGCTCGTAGGTGGTGCCCTAGGCGCGTTTTTACAAATGTTCTCTTGCCATCGCATCCCCCATTTGTCAAATTTCTGATCCGTGAAGGCGATAAAGAGGTGCAGTTTGAATAATTGTCGTATTTACGGGCGTCGTGCAAAAACACGCTGGCGCGCGTCATCATCGCCCCCGTGCAGTCTAAACGCCGCGGCGATTAATTCGTGGTGCTATTACACGCGCGTGCACCATTAATCCTCGGCGTGCTGCGACTGATGCCGCGCCATTTATCCTACTTACGTATCGAGGCACCCAAAAAATGACGGCCGGCGATATATATTTCCAACTTTTTGCTCTGCTTGCGCGCACAAGCACGTACCAAAGTGGCAAAAAGTGATATGATTGATATTATTGGGAAAATAACGAGCAAAAAGGAAGAAATGGGAAGAAATCGCGCGATTCTTTTGGACCATTTGATGCGAACCGACAGTTGTATGTATTTCTCTCTCCTCGGAAGAAAAATCCATTTAAAATGCCTTGAATGCGATGAAAGCTGTCAACGAGGAATGTGGAGAAATGCCCTTCTTTTTTATAATTCTAATAAAAACGTCTCATTTCGGGCATATTTCGTCAAAAGCTACACGCAATTTAAACCCCGTCTAAATTGGCCTTGCGCTGGGGTAAGAAGATTTCGGCCAATTATTTTGGCGGGAAATTGTCAGAGGCGTCTCTGCCGCTGAAAGTTTTGACGCTCTTGTCCTAAACTCGGTCTGCCGCGAGATTTTATTACGCAAATTCGCCTCTGGTAATGCGCTCGGCCTCCAAAGGCACGAATTGCTTTACGACCGTCCGGGCGCCGCACAGGCCGTAGTAAATTTATTAAAAGCTTTGCGATATGGAATAAAAATAAATATATTACTTAAAAGTTTAATCCTCTGCTCCATCTGGCTGTGCGGCGGAACAATGGCTGGCGAGCGAGCCCTTTAAATCCCCCAGCGCCGAGAGGATGAATGCGTACGAATTTTCCAACCTGAGCACACATTCACACACAGTGGCAGAAAATAAATATCCCCGGTGTTTTAGCAGTGGGGTGGATTCGGCAAGAGAGAACAATAGGTTTGCAGATATCAATGCACACACCGTGGTGGAAGGGCTGTTTTTCCTGAATAATGGGGAAATATTTTATATGCGCTCCTCATTTTCCACAAATCCGCGGAGGTAGAGAAATAAAAGAAGAAAAAACCAGCGCATCACATTTTACTTTTAGCAGGGGAGAGATATTGTTGATTTGAAAGTGGAAAAAAAGTTCTGGTTTTTAAGGGGGAAATGGTGCGGCCAAGTGGAACGACAACTATATCATTTCCACGCAGATGAATTGCCGCTGTGCATTTAATTTCGCGACGTGATTTTCCCCCTCACTCATTACGCAGTGATAAATTAATGTTTTGCCCCGAAAAATCTGAATTCCGGCGCATAAAAATGCAAATGGCATCGATTTTCAGCTGGGAGGGGAGTTTTTTTGTACGGCGGAAGGTCCCAGACATAGATCATTGATGGAGAGGGTCCATAATGCGTGCGTATGACAGTGACTTTGAGAGAGGCTGCAGCTCTCGAGATGTGCAGCGACAATGTGGGGTGTGCAGCGACATTGATAATAATGGGCCCAAGAAATGAAGCGTCGCGCTTCGTGTAAAAATAGAACTTTTATTACACTTTCAATAGAGCGAGTTTATGTTGTGAAAAAGAAAGGAAGGACTTTTTCGAGCGAGAGGGGGCGGAATGTAAAATGCAGGGAGTTTTCAGACTCGGCAAAGTAATTAATTATTTATCGATAATATTGCTCAAAGTGTCAAGCGGAGGATTTTCAGCACTGCCGGAGGGTTAATTTGAAAAATCGACCTCTGGCCCGTTTTTCAACATAATGGGAGCTGAAAAGATCCCGATTTAACGAGCAGCTTTTTTGAAAATTCCAAAGCAAATGGTTTCTATCTTGCGAGTGACTCGTGTGGGCGCACATTAATATCGATTTGGCATCATTTTTCCATTTCAAAGGAAGAAAGAAACGCGAGTCCCGAGGAGGAAAAAAGAAATATTGGCCGAAAGAAAGGTGCAAAGGCAATTCGAAAAGGAAATCTTGTCACATTTGCACGAAAGTACGAATAAAAGAGATGGAAAACTGCTGCGCCGGCAGAACGAGAGAAAAGGAGCTTGTTAAATTTTTATTTATTTCGCATGTGAAGGCGAAAGCAGGCGTTTTCCTCCTCATATTCTCCTGCGGGCTCTCTCATTTCCTTCCTCCGCTAGAGAGTTTCGCGCGAGACAATAATATTTATGGTGCTTTTGCTGAAGGAAAATCTTTCCGTACACGCTCACGCTGCTGCTTCCATTGTTGAAAGAGGTAGATTAATCAAGAGAGGGGAAGCTCGGCGCATTTTCTTGCTCGTTCTCGGGCGAAGTGCGGTTGCATCATTCATTACCGCCGCTCGAGCAGCCCCAGAGTCACTCCGAGCAAAGCCGCCGACTCTCGGAAACAAATGAATTCGCGGCGCACTCCCGAGAAATGACTGATGATGTCTTTCTTCACTCGAACAATACTCATCAGGCGAATGCCTTATTGATCACCTCGAGAGGCCCATTGTCTGCCCAAAGCACTTGGCTAATGCTCGTCTATCACGCATTGCGCGTTTTATCGCGCCAACAAATCGCGAATTCCGCTTTTAAGTGGATTAACTCGGTGTAATGTTGCTAAATGGGCCGGCCGTGCGTGCAAACTGCAAAGTGCGTCGCCGCCATAAAACGCCAGAAGCAATCATGGCCGCTTGAATAAAGTATTATTTTTTTGTCCGTCTCCAAAAGTTATTCGAATATGGAAACAAATTGGTCTACTGATATAATTTTAGAGGAGTATTTTAAGAAAGGTTATGGGACAGTCGCCAGATTTTTACAGCCGTAATCGGGGAATTTATTCACTGAAAAGCCCCCGTAATTGCGGCAGCGTGCAACGCACCGCCGTTGCCCTAGGTTGCATAAATCGCGGCTTCCGAGTGTACAGAAAGAAATATATATAGGGGAGAGAGCTTGAAAGACTTTGTTAAATATAAAACTGGTCTCCGATTTTTGACAAATTTGTTCGACTCACGCATGCTACGGACCTTACCTAAGACGAAAAAGTACGATCTCGATTAAGCGTATTTTAAAATTATGCTAATTTGTCTCCGAGTGCATGCAATAGAGATTAGTATTTGAATATTTTTTCCATATGTGCTCAAATTGAACTTATAAATTATTGTTAGTATTTGATTTTTATTTATTTATTTATTCTCCATTCGATACAGTCATGAGTCATGAATACAGCAAAAAATACTATTGGATAAAATAAAATTGTATTTAAGATTATTGTATTCATCATTTTAAAATTTCTTAATCTATTTGGATAAAATAAAATTGTATTTAAGATAACTTTATTCATTATTTTAAAATTTCTTAAACTATACGGATAAAATAAAATTGTATTTAAGATAATTTTGTTCATTATTTTAAAATTCCTTAAACTGTTTGGATAAAATAAAATTGTATTTAAGATAATTTTATTCATCATTTTAAAATTTCTTAAACTATTTGGATTAAATAAAATTGTATTTAAGATAATTTTATTCATCATTTTAAAATTTCTTAAACTATTTGGATAAAATAAAATTGTATTTAAGATAATTTTATTCATCATTTTAAAATTTCTTAAACTATTTGGATAAATAAAATTGTATTTAAGATAATTTTATTCATC